ATGGTGATCTTTTTCCAATTTGCTCCTCTTGCGACTCAAACTTCCAACCTCTTGATTGAAAGTGGAGTGCTCTTGCCACTAGAACAACCTCACCAATCACCAAGCATCTTTTTTTCCTTTTCTTTTCCCTCACTTCCTCCAAAATTGCGACAAGGCTCCATGCAAGCTCAAAGGTGGTAAGTAGTTATACCATCAGCTGCCTAGGTTCCCCAGAATATAAATTCACGTCCATCTTTCTTGACAGACGACAAATGAGCTTCATCAGAATAACTAAATCAAAATAGAACAGCCATTGTAGACCAAAATAATGAACTAAACGTACCTCGTCTACAACAGCATATGGTGGCATATCTAACTTGGTGATCTCATAGAAACCAATTCGAAGAATCTAACAACATTTTCAAAGCAAAAGTCAGTTGAGAGGGATTATAAATGACCTTGCAAAATTCAAAGGTTATAAAGACAGAACACAGAAGGGAAGAAAAGAGGGAACTCAGGTCCAACATATTTAATTCCCCAAGTAGTCCTATCAATGTCAAGCTCTGCTATGCACATACAGACGAAGTGCTTAACTCAAACAATGTTCACCAATTAATAGGATAAACCACCAAATTGCATTAGCATTTCAGCCTCTGAGATGTGCTTTCTTTAGCATTGAGCATACACCTATTTGCCTCAGATGTTATTTAAATTTTAAAGCGTATCACTATGTATTTCTAAATAGAAAATAAATGCACCAGTAATGTATACTCCATTGGAGTGATAGCCATGTTGACTATGACCTACCAATGCCACATGAAATAAATCATTCAGGCATAATGACATTCTAAATCTCGCAGGTACATTATGCTTGACAAAACCTCATCAGCCAACATGTATACCAACCATTGTTAAGATTAAGAAGGCCTATTGTAAGTCCAAGATTGAATTCTATCATCATCATTCATTCACATTAATTTTGGTTCTAGGTGGTTGATACAACTCATAAATTTCTTAAAAGGCATATTTGCCAAGATAACCTTGTTTCATAAAGGAACTCCATAGTGCTCCTCTTTTCCTCTTTTAGTTTTAATAATTAATTTCACATGGATGCTATTTTAGAGGATTCTCCAATAATTAAACCATCGATGAAATAACTTTGTTTGAAAAAGAAATTTATGACTGCTCCTTTATTTTTGGTACTTAATAATTAAATTCAAATAGATGCTATTTGAGAGGTTCTCCAATACTTAAACCATGGCAACAAAATATATTCTATTGGATGCTCTAAAAGAAAAGAACCCAAAAACAGTAGCAAATATACCTGTAATAGAAGAGGTTCCATGCTTCTGAATGTACTCTCATCGTGGCATAACGAAAGAATCAAGTGATCAAGATATCTTCTCCAGCGAATGGTACCTCCAACAATCTCCGTGACCTACAACATAAATATTTCAAGAAAACCATAAGGACAAGTGCTCTGATATTGTGATGGAAAAGAGAATCTCTTGAAAAAAAATATGAAAATCGTAAGTGAATTAGAAGACGGTCAATGATACGGTAGTAAAGAAATGGCCAAGAAAGAAACAAACCAGTCTTAAATCTCTGTCTTCTAAGTGACGAGTGCGAAATCCAAGAGTTCTTTCAACATATCCCATTTCATTATCCCCTGAACCCTTCCCTTGCTCATTCAGAAGATCAGCAAATGCACCGCCCAGCTCTATGCGCATCAATCTTACCGCAGACACTGTAAAATAGACACGTGACATGAAGATAAGAACAAATAAACAGCAACTGAACAAATTTCTTAACACTAGTAAGAAAATGTCAATTAAACGCAAATTAAAAAGTTGATTTTACAGTGGCTTACCAGCTCTATGAGGAGAAACTTCCAAATTCAGCTTCTGTGTTTTCCTTGGAGGACTGCCTGAATCTTGACATAAAAATTCCCGAGGAAATCCAGAAAAGGGCAGGATTTGAAGTTAGCCTTAAGGAATTAACTTAGATAGACACACTACAACAAGAACAACAACTATGCCTCAATTCCAAAAGCTGGGGTTGGCTATATGAATCCTCACTGATCATGTGACTTCATTTAAACTCATCCCATGCCAATATTATATACTAGAATAAAGATTTATTTTTTTTAAAAAAAAAGTGCTAGAAGTTCTTTATATTTTTTACTGACATATCAATTGGGCAAATGAAAGCATTTTCTTTTTGTTTTCCTACTTATACAGTTTTGCCAGTTTTTCAGTCAACTATCGAACTGTTAGTGCTGGAAATGAAGATGCTACTTACCTGGTTTTCGGCTGATTTTCTTTGGAAATTTGACCTTTTCAGTGGAATGGGACTCATAAGAAGAAGTTGCAGAGAGCTTTGCAAAATGGAGTATCCGACCCGAAAGCAATTGGGGCAGTGAAGGCATAATTGTATGTCTGAAGGAAGACGCCGGAGAATTGGATGTTTGCATCATTGTTTTCTGTATCAAAAACTGAACCGAATTGCCCGTGGATACTTCAGCGACTATTTGTACTCCCATCTCTTTTTGATAAGCCACGCCTTAACGAACGTTTTTCGACGTGTTTGCTTAGTGTCTTTTCAAAAAAGCTTGAGGATAATTCAGTCATTTAGCATAGCTCTATACGTGACTTTTTTTCCCTTCCGCAAATACTACGCGTAGGTTTTTGGTTTCTTTCTCAGGCACCGCATCCTTTTCCTATATTCAGTCCCAATATCTTCTCCATCGTGTTTTCCATCCTTTTCCTGAGCGTTGTTCTCCTGATTTGCCACGTTTTTGAGTCTTATCATCTCGATGCTCCTTCTGGCTCTCTCTCTCTCTGTATCCCCCTTCCCTTCGCCATCTCTCTTTCCTACTTGTGTGCATCATCTAGAGTCTAGACGACGCAACCACTAAGAGGATGAAAAATAGGCAAAATAATTTCATCATCTTCCTCTTGTGCTCTTCCGTTGCGCTTGGATTGGTTAATATTGATTTTTCTGTTCAATTGGCAGTGTGCTGGGTTGGCAACCGATGATGGGGATTAGGGCTCTTTGTTTCTAGCTTGCGGTGAGTTCAATCTATTTGTTTTTTTTAAATTCTCGATTTAGGGACTTCTCTACCTATTTCTCGCGGCCTTTACATTCTAGGCTATGCCTGTTTAAAATCCAAGAGGCCTATTTTTATTTTCTTTTGTGTCACATTTGGAAATGTTTTATTTTTAGTTTCTATACTTTTAGAAAATCTCAGTGTGCGCTTTTCTTCCCAGATGATAACATATGTGAATCTTGATTGCATTGTTTTTTCAAATATCCATACATTCAGCTTGTTTCTATTTTCCACCATTTGACTGTCGTTGCCTTGGTGTTCTTATCTATTCAGTAAAAGCAAATCACAACTTATCCTTTGATCAAGCTTTTCAATTCAGTAAGATATGCTAGATCTTTTTATGTCATATGTTTTACTGCAGAAAATTAGAAGTGGAAGTGTTAGCTTCCTTTTCTGTTTTTCTTTTTTGATAAGTAAATATGGCAGCTCTTTATAACTCGAATTCAATAGTCGTGATTGATAAAGGCTGATTCTATATGTTCTGAATCTGGTGTATGTTCTGCATATAAAATGCTGCACGAGAAAGCATTAGATTGTACGTTATCCATTTATGCAAAATCGACTGAGAAATTTTTTTTTGCAAGAGGGCCTTAGATGGTGTAATTATTTATAAGCTTGTTAAATTAATCTCTTCACAAAACTTGATGTAAGCTTTTGAGCTGTCTATTATTCATTTTTATCTTTCATGTTTAGGTGACAAAATATATACCCTTTTTCTTAATGTAAAGATAGTGCATTCATATGCACAAGATGCATCACTAAAAAAAACCTATGAACTTGAATGATCACTTGGAAAGTAAAGTTCATATGATTGGCAATAAACAATATAGGTAAGGGTACGGTGTACTTGAGGAGCGAGGCTGTCAAACTCAGTTAGGTCCTAGGATGATTTGATTTTGTCTCATTGTCTTAAGATAGGCTTCTCAATTTAGACCAACAATTTAATGAACCATCAATGTATTTCCTCTAATTGGTTATGGAAACAAAAATTAAGTAGATGATGGGTTCATTGCTATGTGTAATATATATTGATTGCCTGAAATTGCACAATTGTATCATTATATTTCTTGCTCAAGCGCATTGGAACTTTAGAAATTCATTTTGAATCAAGAAAGTGGCAGAGAAGAGATGGCATTCTGTTACATTTTCATATCTTATTTTTTAAAGATTAGTTGACTCCTACATTGTTTTTGTGTGAACCTTCCAATTTGAGTGTTTAGTTCCGGTAGAATTATTCTTCTTTTATATGCATAAGTTCGCCTCTTTGAGAAAATGATATCTAAAACAAACGGAAAGAAAGCAAAATTATTCCTCTATGCGTTCTTAATTACTTCACATTTGTTTGTTGCCAAGCAGAATTGTCTTCATTCAAATAAGGTAATTTGATAAATGATGTCCAGGACTCTCAGGCTTTCTCCTCTTCTTGGTTCTTCTTAGTTAGCTGGCAAGTTTCTAGATGAAATATACTCATTTTACTTTTTGGGAGATGCGAAATTATGCATAATATTTCCTACTTTCTTGAACTATGACTTATAAATAGGAAAAGCTTATCTCACCTCAATAACTTTATATGCCGTGAACTACAACATATCAATAGAAGAGAAGCTACATTAACATAAGTTTATTTTGTTTCGCGATATCTAAGAACCTGGTTTTGTCGGGGTTGCTTCTTATATAGAAAACATACAAGGCATATATAGTTACTGAAGTCATCAAAAAAATGTGCTATTGCAGTGATCCGTGACAATGTTCACCTACAAAGTGATTATATACTTCGTAGCTAATCAAGTTTCTTTGTGGCATGGACGGACTTTTCCCGTGATAAAAAGATGGAAAGGGAGCTATCAGGGAGGTAGAGCAGTCTCAAGATGATGACAGCCGCCCAGGTAACAGTCTGGACTCAGAGCCGTTTATATCTTGGATGGCTCGATCATCTTGTCGAGTAAAGTCTTTTTCTTCCAGGCCATCGAAGAAACAGAAATCGTTTCAGTTATCTACCCCTGTTGTCTCATCACTGCTACATGCCAAAACTGAGAGCACAAACTGGAATTTAGGTTCCTTGAACAACAGTAAAGGCAAGCCAGATTGTAATCTTTTATTCCCTGACAAACTGATGGATCTTAGCAAGACTGAGAATTCTTTTGTCGGAAGTCATAGCAGCTACAAAAGTTTATTGAAGAAAAAAAGTATGATTTTAAACTTAGAATTACCAGGGGTTGTCTTAATCTGTATAGAGCTACTTCTTGGCATCAATGCACAAATAAATGAATCAGCATCATTCTTGATCTTTTCAAGATTGCTTTTCCCATTGAGGAACTCCTGATGATAATCAAGAATGTTAAATATGTACTCGGTGACTGATAGCGTACATAGTGAAAATATATTTGTACACATCTGTACGTGCCGTTTAACTTGTGATAACGAATTAGTTACCATTTTACCAGGTTACTAATTTATGTTTACATACAGATTTAGTCCTTCTAATTACTTTATGAGTGATTTGATCGAGTAAATACTTTTTTCACTATTAGTGCATTAAACTAATTAAACTATTAACAAATACTAGGAGTGTCAAATGTGTGGGTTGGACTGATTTTGGGCGGGTCAAAATGGATTGAGCCAATAAATTGACCCGCCCAAAAGTTACTTGGGTAGAGATAGATTGGATCAAGATGGGCTAAAATTTGGGTCATAACCCAACCCGTCCTACTCTTATCAAGCTTTAATTAATGTGTGTTATTTTTTTTATGAATTGTTTTATTATCAAAAAGCTTTTTTTTTTCTTTTGTTATGGTCACATATAATATACACTACAACAATACCCCAGTATAATTCCATTAGTGGAGTTTGGGGAGGGTAATGTGTACGCAGACCTTACCCCTACCCTGGGGTAGAGAGGCTGTTTCCGATAGACCCTCGGTATCTCTCTCCCTAAGAACTCCTCACCTTGCTCTTGAGGTGACTCGATCTCACAACCTCTTGGTTGGAAGTGGAGGGTGCTCACCACTAGAGCAACCCAATCTTGTCGTTATGGTCACATATAATATATCAAAGAAAAAAAATTATTTTAAAGTTTTTTAGCAAAGTTACTCATGAATCAATTTTGGCCAAAAATTAGTTCAACTTTAAATGGGTTAAAATGAGTTGGATCAATATGGATTAAGTTTAAATGGGCGGGTCAATAACAGGCCCAACCTTGAACGGATTGGACAACTTAAATAAGTTTGGGCTCAAAATGCTCCCCCGACAATTGACAAATACATTATTGATCTTGAGCGCGATATAGTATAGTAATATAAAGGATTGACCTTAGCTAGTACAGTTTGAGCTCCAGCAAATTTGTTATCCCAACTGAATTCAGAGGCAACCTGACTCCTGCCTTGATTGCTTGAAGCATAGTTTAAATAGTTGTTTCCTCCACCAGCTTTGTATAGCCAAGCAGCAGCCCACAGCAATTCATCCTTTGAAAATTATGGAAAACACTAATTAAACTTATGATTGGAAAAAAGAACTAATTATGCCTAAATTATTGAAATTAATTACCTGATAACCTGAGTAAGAACAGTAGAAAGGGCAAGAAGCTTGGTAAGATCCTCTATACTTGTCAGCAAACGCAAATAGCTGCGCACAGAAAGAGGAAACGAAAATTTTGAGAGTCAAATGGGTGTGTTAAGCTACATTTAGGTAGGGATGTACATAGGTCGGGTTGGTTCGTATTTTTCAATAATCAAACCAAATTAATTGTGTCGGGTTATTAAATCTAAAGATCAAATCAAACAAAACCATAGTCGAATTTGTTTTCGATTTGATTAAGATTATGTGACTGATGCGGTTTGTCGTTTTACTCTATACACCCCTACATTTAGGCATGTTGAGTTAATAACTGATTGTGTTATAATCAGTCCAAAGTTTGCTTGGGTCATGGATGAGTGAGTCAGGCTACAAAAATGGATCACAATTCAATTCGTCCAACTCATTGTTATTATTCATTTATTTGTTTTTTTTATAATATATTTAAACATAAATTGATAAAAGCTTTTTCTTTTACATATTATAACTATATCAAACTAATCAATTTAGGCTACATATTCAACCCAAATTNTTTTCTCATGAACATATGCCAAATACATACCGCCCAAGTATGTGCAACTTATATTTTTATGGGCCAAATTTGACACTTATAACGAAAAGGGATCTTTACACAAATAGTCTGTCATATTCATTATTTATTTTTTTAGCCATATATATAGATTTTACAATAATTATACACAATTATACATATATAATACATAAATTATGCATATATTATACTTTCGCCAGCTATTTTTAGTTTAATTGTTTGGGTGGGCGGCTATTTGGGTTACTACTTGATCGTCGTAATAATTTGGTAGAATAGTTGGAATCTATTTTCTTGAAAACAATTGATGCTGAGGCAAAAGCAGCTGCTACTTCAGCTGCAACCTCTGATCCTTGAGAATTGGAAGTGATCTTGTATAGTGTTCGAGGTGTATCCATATCTTCAGGTCTCTCCCAACACTGGTGATCAACATTTCTGAAATGTACAAAATACGGACTAATGAAAAGTCTGAAATGTACAAAATATGGACTAATGAAATAAAGAGGGAGAAAAGCAGTGCTGCGAACGCTGGCAGCTACCTTGATAACCTCCGATGACTCTGCCTCCGATCAGCCAATACCCACTACTGGGTTCAGAAATACCTGAATCTGCACACAAGGTGCAGGGAGTAATGTGAGTAGTCCAACTCAATGAGTAATAATCATAACTAAAGTCTGAATGGTAAGAAATCATGAAAAGTGCATCAACATGATGTATAGAAACAGTTAAAAAACCAGTAAGAAAGCAATGAAGCTGTAAAATCTCTTAAAATATCATAGCTTAGTTTAAACTTCTTTGAAAATGACTTTCTCAATAGTTGCGCAAATGAATGCAAACAATTAGTGCAGATAAGCACGCCCCTCGGGCACAAATATACTATTAAACAGGTACATGACAAGCAAATAAGAAAGATAAGCACATAAGGTTCGCCCCTCGGGCACAATGTCAACAAGCCCACCCCTCGGGCAATATCTCAGAACAATACCAGCCCCTCAGGCTATATCTCACATCACAATGGGTACATACGCTCACTGAGGGTATGCAGACTCTTGAAGGGGCCCCTTATGGCCCAAGCGCAATATCAAGTCACCTCGTGGTATCATAAACAGGCTCTCAGCCTCATATCAATATCATGTCACCTCGTGGCGTACAATCTCAGGCCCTCGGCCTTAGTCAGTGAAAAATCACATAAGGCTCTCGGGCAACAGTAAAACAATGTTTCTCTGCCCAAATCATCATTTAAATATCATTTGAGTATTAAAACTGAGTGAACATGGCTGAGTTTTGAAAAACAGTGGAAATAACATGACTGAGTTCAAGTATAAAGTCAAAACAATAAGGCAATATCAACAAAAATCCCCGAAGGGTTCACATAGCTGACACTAGGCCCAAATATGGCATTCAGCCAAATAATGGTGATAGCAAATAGTTTTCAATTAAATATGTGGTAAAATCATCAATCGGGACGGACCAGGTCACAATCTCCAATAGTTCACAACCCCACGCTCGTCATCAAGCGTGTGCCTCACCTCAATATAGCACTACGATGTGCAATCCGGGGTTTCAAACCCTCAGAACATCATTTACAATCATTACTCACCTCGATCCGGTCCAAACTCTAGCCCGCGATGCCTTGCCCACACGAATCGACCTCCAGATACTTCAAATCTAGCCACAATCAGTACATAATCATTAAAATATGCAAAGGGAACGAAGCTCACTCGAAAATATCCAATTTTACATCAAAATCCCGAAATTGCTCAAACTCGGCCCCCTGGGCCCACATCTTGGAATCCGATAAAATTAACATCATTGGAATCCTCATTCTTCTACGAGTCTATACATATCAAGAACATCAAAATCGAACCTCAAATGGCCCCTCAAATCCACACTCAAAAGTCTCTTAATCTCAAACCCTAGTTACCCTTTTTTGCTACTGATTTTTCCATGAATTTCAAGCTTACAATGATAGAATTCATCATAGAAACAAGTTTAGGGTCCAAAAATCTTACCTTCCTGAAATCTTGTTGAATTCCCTCTTCAATTAGCTCTCCCAAGCTTCAAAATCACCCAATAATGGAGGATTTAGCCTCAAAATCGCGGAATAGCCCTTTTAAATCATTCTGCCCCGGCATAAAATCCTTCTTCGCGAACGCGGCCAAAGCCTCGCATTCACAAAGCACAAAATTACTTTGACCAAATTTCCTTCACCGTGAACGCGTCGTACCACTCACGAACGCGAATACTTGGCTCCCTAACCCAATGCGAACGCGACTCCCTTTCCGCGAACGCGAAGAACAAATAAATCCTCAAACCCAGCTGCTCACTTCCCCTACATGAACGTGGAGCCTCCCTCGCGAACGCGATGCACAACGGACCTAGCCCTTCGCGAACGCGGAGCCTAAAATCTCCACCTCACCAGCTAACCCTTCGTGAACGCGAAGGCCAAATGCCTGCAACACTGAACAGAAAATATCTGCAACTTTGCAAAACATGAAATGGTCTGATTGACCACCCGAAACTCACCTGAGGCCCTCGGGACCTCAACCAAACATGCCAACATATCCCATAACCTCATTCAAACTTATTCCAACCTTCGGAATGCTCAAAACAACAATAAAACACCAAATTCGCATCGGATTCAAGCCTAAGAATTCCAAAACCTTCTAAATTATGCTTTCGATAAAAAACCCAACCAAATCACGTCCGAATGACCTGAAATTTTGCACACACATCCCAAATGACACAACAGAACTACTGCAACTTCCAGAAATCCATTTCGACCCCTATATCAAAATCTCACCTATCAACCGGAAAACGCCAAAACCTCAATTTCGCCAATTCAAGCCTAAACCTTCCACGGACTTCCAAAATGCATTCCGATCATGCTTCTAAGTCCCAAATCACCCAACGGAGCTAACCAACTCATAAAAATTCCAATCCGAGATCATATACAAACAAGTCAAATCTTGGTCAAACCTTTCAAATTTCAAGCTTCAACTGAGGACTGTTTCTTCCCAATTCATTCCGATTACCCTGAAAACCAAAACTAACGATTTACATAAGTCATAATACATCACATGGGGTAGGTCACGCTCGAGAACTGATGAGCAAAGTGCAAAAGCTTAAAACGATCGATCGGGTCGTTACAATTGCTCCTTTTGACAAAGTTTCTTCAAACTTTTTCAACAAAACCGACTCAATCTCATCATCATTTAAGTTGTTTCCTTTAATCCTGCATGTGTATAAAGTGATGTGTTCATTAGGATCGCTTGT